CCCTTGCCCCTTTCTTGTATTGTTTAGGAAAACCACAACCCTGGTTGAATCCATCTGTCTACCTTCCAGTGCCAGCACCTGTGCACCTGAATGTCACTGGAGAAAAAGGTGGAACCATGCTATTTTCACTTTATTTTTTTTTAAGATAATTAACAATAATTTTTACCTTTACTACTCCATTTCCAACAAACATTTTACTGTGAACAAAGAAAGGAAGGAAGGAGGAATTACTGGTGAGTAGTCAAAGCCAAAACTATTTTCACTTTAAATTCACCACCACAAGCTACAAGTGAGCCCAGTCATGCTGCACTTCCATAGTGATTTATTCTTCCACTTCCCTACATGTCAATTTCACATTTTTTTCTCTCAAAATTCCAGCATCTCCTCCCCAGTCTTCTCAGGGATTGTCTTTATTTCCACATCTCTGGGAAATTGAAGCAATAAAAAATGAACTTCTCAGAGTTGTACCACATCTGCCCTCCACCAGCATTCTTTGCTAGTTCTTCCTCTTTTCTCCATCTCTTAATGTTGGATGTGTAAGAACTCAGGCCTGGGGCCTTTTCTCTATTTAGATCCACTCTCACAGTGATCTCATCCAGTAACAAGTTTTAAAACCTGTCTGTATTTTGATGATTTCCAAATTTATATATTTTTACCAGACCTTTTAAATTCTAGATTTGCGTATTGAACTGTCTATATAGCATCTTCACATGAATGCCTAACGGATATGTCAGATGTTATATATCTAAGACTGATCTCACGAGGTTTCCTTCTTAAGCTTGTTCAATCTTTTCCATTCTAGTTGGTGATGTAATGCCATACTTCTTGGACAAAAGCCTTAAAGTCATGCTTTACTCCTTTTTCTCATATCCTAGATGCTTACTGTCAGGAAATCCTGTTAGTGCCATCTTTAAAACATCTAAAATCTAACCACTTCTCACTTCCTTCAACTCACATTGCTGTCATGTCAGTCCATGTCACCATCAGTGCCTTCCAATCCTGTACCCAGCCTTAATCCTTGACCCTTAAAATGTATTCTCATCATAGTAATCAGGGAGATTTTAAAATGTAAATCAGATCATGGCACTTCTTGCTCACAGTCTTTTTTTCTCTTTTTCTTTTTTTTTTTTTTTTTTTTGAGACAGAGTCTCGCTTTGTTGCCCAGGCTAGAGTGAGTGCCGTGGCGTCAGCCTAGCTCACAGCAACCTCAAACTCCTGGGCTCAAGCAATCCTTCTGCCTCAGCCTCCTGAGTAGCTGGGACTACAGGCATGCGCCACCATGCCCGGCTTTGGCCAATTAATGTCTTTCTATTTATAGTAGAGATGGGGTCTCGCTCTTGCTGAGGCTGGTTTTGAACTCCTGACCTCGAGCAATCCGCCCACCTTGGCCTCCCAGAGTGCTAGTATTACAGGCGTGAGCCACCACGCCTGGCCCTCACAGTCTTTTAATGGCTGTTTCACATCAGAAGTGAAAGTCTTTATAATGGCCTTCAAGGTCCTACAGTATCCAACTCAGTAATGTCCAGTAAGATAAGTTACTTCTCTGACCTTATCTGCTCTCTCCTCTTTCTTTACTTTGCTCTATCTTGAGTACATTAAGCATGCTCCTACCTTATCTTTGCATTGGCTGCTTCCTCTGCTTTAGAATACTTTTCACCTAAATATTCCCCCATTACCAACTCCCCATTGACTTCTCAATGGCCAATTTGTGTGTTTGAGAAGACAAGTGAGGGGATTAGTTGTGCTGTACAGAATGAAGAATAAAGGGGCAGGGATATGGCAAATGTTGAAGTCTTCTTGGTGAAAAAGAGCCGGTGGATGAGATTTGACCTGTTAGCCACTGGTGAGTCCAGACTACTTGCTATTCTGAGTAAAAATGAAAAGAATTCAAGAAGAGCCTTTATAGCAGGTTAATAGAGATAAGGCAGCTTTCAGTTAGTGGAAACATTTGTAAATCAGGGTTTATAATTTGAAGATTCCTTTGCTTATTTTTTTTTTAATTTATTTTTTTTTGCTTTTAATTATTTTTTATTTATTTTACAAATATTTTTACTTTTTTTTTCTTCTTTTTGCCGTTGTGATAGAGTTAGTGCTTGTGGATCCTTTGCTTATTTATAAGGCATTCTTTTTTGTAGATAAGTGCATTTGGTGTCCTGCTGCCTAGTTCTGATTTAATGATACTGTCTTTGATTTAATAGAGAATAGGTCAAAGAACTGCTTGAGCATCATTTTTGGAATCTATTTTAAAAGTTCAATAGAAAAAAGTTTAATAGAAAATATTCAGGCTGGGCGAGGTGGCTCACGCCTATAATCCTAGCACTCTGGAAGGCCGAGGCGGGCAGATTCTTCGAGGTCAGGAGTTCGAAAATATTCAATTATTAAATTCCTGTGTTTCTGTAGTTAATCTTGTATGATTCATCAGACAGGAGAACATAAATGTGTTTCCTGTTGTTTAGCTATATCTATTAAGAGATTTCAGAGCCTAACCAGTATTTATTTCAAGTACCTAGCTCCTCTAGTTCTCTATACTTTTTTGATTTTTAATTGCAGGACTTAACATACTATGTCTAGTTTTATAAATTGCCAAAAGTGCTTATGGAAATAGACTTAGTTGAAATTAGAATGTATCCTTGTTAAGAGGGTATTCTGTATTCTGATTTTCCATACCATAGTTAAGACTTGCATGTTCTTTCCATGGTTCTTTTATATTTGCTTATTTGCATACCTTTTCCTCAGAAGGAAAAGTATTAATAAAAGAATAAATGAAGGTTACAGGAAAATAATAAAAGTAGAAAAAGTAACACAAAGCCGGGCAAAAGGTTAATACACAAAGTATATATGCCACAGGATCACAAATATGACCCTAAATTTCTCATTAGCCAATACTAAGAAGAGAACAAAGTTACCTACATGATTCAGTTAAGTCCATAAGATAAAAACAAACTAGCTGTTCAGGATAGAAGCATAGCTAATCCTGTTACTAAGTTCTGAGTGGATAACTCCCATGGGTCCTTATAATAAGAATGTTGTGTGATGGAGACACTTGGGGCAAGGTAGTATAATAACTTTTAGGATGAACTGTGTTGATGTAAGCAGCATTCACAAGAATATGATGTTAGTCCATGGTTCTTAATCATTTTTGGGTCATAGCCCCTCTAACATTTTTATGTAGTTTTATCATGAATTTGATATACATGCAGATTGTGAACTAATTCCAAGAGATTCTGACCCAGTAGGCCTGAGGTAGGTTTTAGGAGTCTATATGTGTAATCACCATCCCAGGTGATTTTGGTATAAGTTGCTGTCAGACCAGCCATATGTTGAGAAACTGTTTCAGAGTTATAATTTCAGGCAGTTTGCAGATCTGTGCAGGCAGTACGTGAACCTTAGGTTAAGAATCTATGATGGAAGTGAGTGACACCCTCAACAACGGTTATATAGTAAAAAAATCATGAATTTCAGGCAGTGATTGGTGCTGGTATATTAGAAAATTAATGACTTGTTGTAATTTACTGGCCCAAATAAGTCAAACAGCCATGCTTAACCTGAAAAGGAATACTACTAATAACTAACATATATGGAGTTTCTCTCTCCCTTTCTTTTTGGTAGTGTAATTGATGGGTTTTTCCCCCTAATGTTGAACTACTTTCACATTCCTGGGATAAACTCTATATGATTATGAGATATCATTGTTTGGATATGCCATTTTGATTTGCCAATATTTATTTAGATTTTTGCATCTATTCTCTGGTAAGATTGGCCTAGAGTTTCCATTTCTTGTGCTGTTCTCAGCAGTTTGGTGTCAGGGTTTTGTTAGCGTTATAAAATGAGATGGCTATCTTTCCATGTTGTTTTTGTTTTTGTTTGTGACAGGGTCTCTAGGCTCTTTTGCCCAGGTTGAAGTGCAGTGGCTCAATCATAGCTGACCAGTGTAACCTCAAATTCCTGGACTCTAGTGATCCTCCTGCCTTAGCCTCCTGAGTTGCTGAGACTATAGGCACATGCTACCATGCTGGGCTAATTATTTTTCCATGTTTTTTTCCCCTCAGTTTTCAAAGTTTATCTAGATTTCAAATATACTTTTTGTGAGGAGTTTAGGACTACAAAATATGAAGTATACAGTCTCCACATAAGATCACTCTTACTTCTGACACCAACTGCAAGTTTGAGGGGTTCCAAAAACTACTCTCAGGTGTGATTAGAAAGTTTCATAGAATTTAGTGAAACTGTTGTACTCATAGTTATGATTTGTTATGGGAAAAGATCCAGAGTAAGATCAGCCAAAGGAAGAGACTCATAGGACAGAGTCTAGGAGGGTTCCAAATATAGAGCTTCTCTTGTCTTCTCCCTGTGTAATGAGGACACATTTCACTCCTGGCATCAATGTGTGACAGTATGCATGAGAACTACCAAACAGGGATGCTCATCCAGTCTCCACCGTCTGGAGTTTTTATGGAGCCTTTTCACATAGGCATCATTGATTAATTGGTCACATGGATAATTTCAGTCTCCAGGCTGACTGACATTGCATGATGGAAAGCCCCCCACTCCAAGTCACATTGTTGGTCTTTCTGATTGACTAGCCCCTACCCTAAGATGATGCAGGCACGGCCAGTCCCCTCCTTAAATCACATTTTTAGCCTATTCAGTGTGATCCAAGGCCACCAGGCAAAGGCACACTTACCAGACATAACATTCCAAGTGCCCAGAGATTACCTACCAGAAGCGAAGAAGAAATGCCAGATCTTCTCTTTGGACAAGACCAAATTCTTCACAATACACTTTTATACAATTAATTTTTCTCTTTTATAATTTTGATCTTCCTATGATTCCTTAACAACAGATTAAGCCTATGTGGATTCTATTATGGAAAACTGGTTCTTTCAAATTTGAGCCCTGCATTTCTTTAGCTATCTCTTAAAAGATAAAAATTATAGGACACTTTTGATTTAACTGCATTTAAATTAAACTACCTTTTATCCTTTTTTTTTTTTTTTAAGAATAAAGGTTCTCTTCAGTTTGAAGACAAATGGGATTTTATGCGCCCGATTGTTTTGAAGCTTTTACGCCAGGAATCTGTTACAAAACAACAGTGGTTTGATCTCTTTTCGTAAGTAATCCATTAATTCTGTTTGCTAACATAAAGGAAATTTTGGTGATCTTTTTCAAATGGAATGTACAACTCTAGATTGGTCTGCTTACCTATTAAAAATTACTAGTAGTGTGGTGTTGGGTCCTAAGACATGCCCCAGGTTCAGTGATTTGCTAGGTGACTCCCAGGACTGAACATAAAGTGATACTCACAGTTATGATATATTACAGTGAAAGGATACATAGCAAAATCAGCAAAAGGAAAAGGCACACGGGGTGAAATTTGGTAAAAAATAAGCACAAGCTTCCAAGAGTCCTCTCCCACGGGAGTCACACAGGACACACTTAATTTTTCTAGCAAAAAGATTGACGACATGTGTGATGTGTTGTTTATCGGGGAAGCTCGTAGAGACTCATTGCCCAGGGTTTCTATGGGGGCTGGTCACATAGGCAGTCTCTGCCTGGCATGAACCAAAATCAGTATAACCACATTGTTTGTATAAACAGTTTAGGTACAGTGAGCCACTTTTATCATTTCAAGAAGGTTTTATGTAAGTGTAGGAAACAAGTTCTAAGTTCAAGTTCTAAGTTACCAGCCAAGAGCTAACCTTACAAGCAGGCTATTCTAAGGAATGCAATCTCAGGTCTGATGTGTTAACTCTTGGCCTTTGGCCAAAATGTCTTTACAGCAAAAGTATTGTCAGTATGCCTCCCTCCACACCCCTTGCAGCAGGACAAGACTGACCTATAGTTTTGATCTCAGTTATGCCTTGGATTTAGCTAGCTAAAACAAATCCCATTTACCATAAGGTTTACCTTAGAAAACCAAATGGCTTTCTCCTTAAGTTTCTGTATGAACCTTTTAAAATATGGCCTCCAGTGTCAACTCAGAAGAGCACAGCTAAGGCCAGTAAATTGAAGCAGATCTGAAAACCTTCCAGGATTGAGGCAGTGTTATGATAGGGTATATACACAAATATAATCCCAGAGGGTATATGTGGAACCCCTGGAAACAAAGAGTTTAAAATTGTTAGGGTACCCCAAGCCATGTATACATTAGTCAGCTATTATAGGTTTACCTGTGTGTGGCCTCCTACCATGGGGCCTTTCATTCTAGGGTTCCCAAACTAGTCTAGTTCATTCATTTCAGGCCTTGGTTTCAGGTTGACTGCCTTAAGGCAGTTAGTTCCAAACAGTTTTGCTTATCCATCACACCTATTCATTTGTTTCACTAGAGTGAATGATATCTGGAGGTTTTCTGCATGGGAAATGAAGAAGCTGGGGCTGTTCCCTGCTGTCTCATAGTGCCATTAGGTGTGATGGTAAGCTTGGCAGTCAGTTTCATTTAAAAGTACTCACGCTTTTGGAGGAAGACATGGTCGCAGGTGCAGCAGAAGCATGGTGTGCCTGCTTCTGCTCCCGACTTACCGCTGTTCGCTCTTGGTGAGGAACAGGTCAGCGCAGCTATGGCTTTTAAAAATACTGGAAAAACACCCGTGGAGCCAGAGATGGCAGTTCACCAAATTAGAATTACGCTAACTAGCAGCAACGTAAAATCCATGGAGAAGGTGTGTGCTGACTTGATCAGAGGCACAAAGGAAAATAATCTCAAAGTAAAAGGACAAGTTTGGATGTCTGCCAACACTTTGAGAATCACTACAAGAAAACCACCTTGTGGTAAAGGTTCTAAGACTTGGGATCGCTTCCAGATGAGAATCATCAAGCGACACATTGACTTGCACAGTCTGTCTAAGATCGTTAAGCAGATTACTTCCATCAGTATTGAGTGAGGAGTTGAGGGTTGAGGTCACCATTGCAGATGCTTAGGTCAACTGTTTTAATAAATTGATTACCAGTTGTCAAAAACAAATAAATAAGTAAAATTACAGCAGCTTGGAAAGGCAACACTGAGAGATTCCCTTTAGGAAGAGGGAAAAGCTTTCAGGATTAGTTCTGAAAAGCAAAAATCATTAATGTCCTCCTCCCCTGTGCCTTCCCAGGTGATAGGTTTTGTTTTTTCTCCATTATAAAATTAGTGTAGCAGCTAGGTGCAGTGGCTCACAACTGTAATCCCAGCTACCTGGGAGGCTGAGGTGGGAGGATTGCTTGAGCCCAAGAGTTTGAGACCAATCTGGGCAATGTGGTGAAACCTAATCTCAAAGGAACAAAACTGTACGTGAAAGTCAGTGTATCCCATTTAGTAATGAAAACTTCATTTTTTCTAATCATCCAGACCTGCAAGAAAATAAAAGCATTTTTTTTCCAGAAAAACATTTTTATACAACTTTATTAAAAAGACATAATCATGGTTAGGAATTGGTTAGGACAAAATCCTGAATTTTCAAAACTTTTCAAAATGGGTTTATGTTACCTCCCACCCATTTTGTCCTGATCATTTATCTAGTGAGTAGCCTAGAAAAAATCAGTTTCTTTCTGGGGGAAGCTGTATTTAATAACCAGATTGTCTTACTAAGATGCGTATACCAGGAGTGGTGAGAGGAAGGTGAGAGAAATAGAGCCAGGTTATTAATCTGTTTTGCAAACTGTAACTAATCCAGAAAGCCAAACACAAGTCAGTAGCAATGAGACATCTCGAGAAGGGCTCAAAGTTCAACCTGTAGGGACTGGGTTAAGGGGTTACACTCCTTGTGATGTGCTGTCTTCCAACTTGCAGCTTTTGGCAGGAACCACAAGCTTAGGAATGCAGGTAGTATCCATATCACGTATATAAGACCAATCAGCAGCTTGATTTCAGATGATCTTATCAGAGAATAAGCCTTTTTCTGTGAGCTTCCGAAATTGTTGATATGGTCCAGCCAGAATCCATGATGTTTTCAAAGTTTATGGCTCCACAGAAATGTGCCTTTTCCATCTTCAATAGTCTTTGAGGCAAAGTCCTATTTATTAAGCATATACCTGCTTTCAGTTCAGCACAGCTTGTGTTGAGGTTGAAATGGCCTAGTAGCAGACAGTATCAGGTTTCAGCTAGAAACCTGATACTGTCAGATCCAGGAAGTTAAGATCTGTGAATTCAGTATTCTAAAAAAGTTAATGTGTTCTTTGGCAGCAGCAAAGCAAAGATGCTATAAGCCTCACTGTCATGTTCTAAGTCCAGGTGACAAGACTGGCCTAAGCCCTATTTATCTTGTCAGTCTTAGAATCCAAATTGATCTGCTCAAAAATATGCACATCAGGCTGGAAAATCATCAGCCTCTAAAGAGCTCAGTAGCAGCGAAATAACTGTGTTTTAGAACTCTAAAAGTGTATTTCTAGCCCAGATTTCCTTTGTTTTCATATTGTCTCCCTTTTTCCAGAGGCACCAGTAGGTAAAAATCAAACATTGATTATGGAGACTTAACTCTGTTCCCAGTACTCAAAAGAGTTTGAATTTCAATCCCTTCATCAGCAGAAAAAGTAAGATTCTGTCTAGTTTACCTGACTGAGATAATCCCTCTAGCATTTATAAAATGACCAGCATATAATATGTTATATCAGCCAGGCGCAGTGGCTCACGCCTGTAATCCTAGCACTCTGGGAGGCCGAGGCGGGAGGATTGCTCGAGGTCAGGAGTTCAAAACCAACCTGAGCAAGAGCGAGACCCCGTCTCTACTATAAATAGAAAGAAATTAATTGGCCAACTAATCTATATAGAAAAAATTAGCTGGCCATGGTGGCGCATGCCTGTAGTCCCAGGTACTCAGGAGGCTGAGGCAGCAGGATTGCTTGAGCCCAGGAGTTTGAGGTTGCTGTGAGCTAGGCTGACGCTATGGCACTCACTCTAGCCTGGGCAACAAAGCGAGACTCCGTCTCAAAACAAAACAAAACAAAACAAAAAAAACATGTTATATCACTGTTTAGCATACGTCTGGATGCAATAGCTACAAAATACAACGCCATATTTTAAACACCACCGCCTACTTTTGTTTCTTTGTCTTATTTTAAATTTAATCACACCTCTAGCAATAAATTCAGTATTTACAGCTGCTGGGAAATCCTGACTGGAATGTAAGGGGTAGGGAGCGACTGCTGTGGTAGCTGCTGCTAGTCTGAAGAAACAGCTGTAATTGTTCTCTCCCTCTACTCCCTTTTCTCCCCGAGTTTATCTAAAGCTTTGCTCCAGCCCTGGGCTCTGATTTAGCTATTACTTTTTCATACTTACAAGAGAGAGCAGTACAAACTTTTTTTTTTTTTTTGAGACATAGTCTCACTCTGTTGCCCAGGCCAGAGTGCCATGGCGTCAGCCTAGCTCACAGCAACCTCAGACTCCTGGGTTCACGCAATCCTTCTGCCTCAGCCTCCTGAGTAGCTGGAACTACAGGCATGCGCCACCATCCCCGGCTAATTTTTTCTATATATTTTTAGTTGTCCAGCTAATTTCTTTCTATTTTTAGTAAAGACGGGTCTCACTCTTGCTCAGGCTGGTCTCAAACTCCCGAGCTCAAAGGATCCATCCGCCTCCGCCTCCCAGAGTGCTAAGATTACATGTGTGAGCCACCGCGCCTGACCAGCAATACAAACTTAACATTTTTGATCCACCCAAAACTCACCCTTGGGAACTTGCAGGCCTTTTCTCTCCCACCTGGAGGTGAGAACAAAAGCCAAAGATATTTATGCTATGCTTTTTTTCTCCTCTCTTAAGTCAGCATGGCCAGAAATAGCCTGGGGAATGAGGTAGTTCTAATCCCAGGAGAGTTGGCTATCATTTTCAGATTTCATAGGTAATTTGAAAGACGTAATTTTGGTAGACAGAGCTCCACTGCTGTTTCATACCATGAATGATTTTATACCAGCATTTCTCATCCTACTGCTCCTTTCTTTCTCATGAATCCCACTTCTGACACTGACACCAATGGTGTCAGCAGTTCCAACACCACCCTTAGGTTCAGTGACTGCTAGGAAGACCCATTAGACTCACCATATACTTAAATTCGTGGCTATGATTTTTTTTTTTTTTTTTTTTTGAGACAGAGTCTTGCTTTGTTGCCCAGGCTATAGTGAGTGCCCTGGCGTCAGCCTAGCTCACAGCAACCTCAAACTCCTGGGCTCAAGTGATCCTCCTGCCTCAGCTTCCCGAGTAGCTGGGACTATAGGCATGTGCCACTATGCCCGGCTAATTTTTTCTCTATATATTAGTTGGCCAATTACTTTCTTTCTATTTATAGTAGAGATGGGGTCTCACTCTTGCTGAGGCTGGTTTTGAACTCCTGACCTCGAGCAATCCGCCCGCCTCGGCCTCCCAGAGTGCTAGGATTACAGGCGTGAGCCACCGTGCTGGCCTTGATTTTTTTTTTTTTTTTTTTTAGACAGAGTCTCCCTCTGTTGCCTGGGTTAGAGTGCCATTGTGTCAGCCTGGCTCACAGCAGCCTCACACTCCTGGCCTCAAGCAATCCTCCTGCCTCAGCCTCCCAGGTAGCTGGGACTACAGGCATGTGCCACCATGCCCGGCTGATTTTTTCTCTATATTTTTAGTTGTTGAGCCAATTTCTTTCTATTTTTAGTAGAGATGAGGTCTTGCTCTTGCTCAGGCTGGTCTCGAATTCCTGAGCTCAAAGGATCCGTCCGCCTCAGCCCTCCAGAGTGCTAGGATTACAGGGGTGAGCCACTGCATCCAGCCTCATGGCTACGATTTGTTACAGAGAAAGATGCAAAGTAAAATCAACAAAGAGAAAAGATACATGTGCCAGGGTCCAGGAGGAAACCATGTACAAGCTTCCAAATGTCCAGAGGAGTCACACAGGATTAACTTAATTCCTCTAGCAACTAATTGTGACAACACATAAAATTTTGTCTGCCAGGGAAGCTCATTACAGACTTAGTGCCCAAGGTTTTTATTGGGGGCTGGCCACATAAGCACATTCTACCTGACACATACCAGAATTCCAGACTCCCAGAAGGAAAGGAAGTGTTCACCATAAATCACAGTGTTGGGCAAGTGTCCTTAGAATACTCAAGATCAATATCCTCAAGATACTTAGGTCCTCAGGATGAAAAAAAAATCACACTCTCTGTGTAAACAGTTTAGGTATAGCAAGCCATTCTTATAAAGAAATGGTGAGAATCCTTCCAAAATCCAGATTCCCAGATGCCAGCCAAGGGCCAGCCTTGCAAACAGGTCTTTCTAAGGATTGCAGCAGTCTCAGGCCTGCTATAATAACTTTTTTCAGCACACCAGTGAAATATATCACTGAATTGTAAATGTATGATTGCATAGCCTATGGGTATGGAGCTGTTATGCTCATTTTCTCGCTTTATCACATAGAGAATATTCTAATTTCCTAAATAACGTAGAACTTGCATCATCTCAGTTATATCTATAATTCTCCCCTTTGAGAAATTAAAGTTCAGTAAGAAACAGCTGAGGCTTTTTAAAGTTTTATAGCATTCATATATATGTTAAGTTTTTCTTAAATTATTTGATTAAACTGTTTCATGAATAATATGTTGAGTGTGGTCGGGATTTTGTTGTTTGTGTTTTTGCCAGTCTGTGTTGATATGATTTATCATCTAGAATAATGCTTGTTCTCTAAGTACTCCTGACAAAAAAGGGGCATGGGGAACCTGCAGCCATAGGTTACATGTGGCCTCCTAGGTCCTTAAATGTAGCCTTATGACTGAATCCAAATTTTATAGAACAAATTATTTTATTTTTATTAATGCATTTTTGTTCATCTTTATATTTTTATCTTATTTTTAAAATGAATGTATTTAAGATATCAAAGAATAAAATAAGTTTCAACAAAATAATCCTCCTAGATTGATAAGCACAATTAGGACATTAGTAAGCCATAGGGCTAAATTAGGGCTGCTACACTCATGATTTAGTTCTAACTTCCCCCATCTGACTGGCACTACTACTACATGAGGCT